ACAAAATCAAACCCACGTGAGACAATTTCACGGAATGTATTCACGACTAACTTATGTAATCCAATAATCACGTGGAGTAGTCCCACAACGGAACTCGCAAAATTAATAAACGTGCACGTAATAAGAAAATCAAGAGTTGTTTATTTTGATTTGATAAATAGGAGCGGGGATAAACGAAACAATAGCTCAAAAAAATGGAGGAAAACGCAATTACACAGGAAAATTTTAGTCATCAATAACCACATTTTTCGTGACACTCGGACCACACTCTTCCTCCTCTTCGGTTCCCGGCTCGGAGTCTGGGTCCATCAGGCACTTCTCAATGATGAACATCTAAACATGTTTGATCATAAATGTGGTGTTCTAATGCATCCCCGGGTTCTCTGGACGAAATTTCTTCCGCCTTGGTCATGCATTCAGCGAGGATATTGTGGAATAACTTCTGCCTTTTCCTTATCAAGCATTTTGATAAGGTCTTCGTTCTCTTTGTTAAAGTCAACACGAAGATTCTTCAACCTTCTTTCATGGTCCGCGTCTAGCCAAGTCTTTGCCACAACATGACCATTAGCCATCTCCTTCATCTTCCCCTCAAACTCGGCTTGCACGTCATCGCGAAGCAAATCACACTCCTCAGCCCACACCCTTTCCTTCTCAGCTTTAAGGACGTCAACAAGAGTGATTTGTAGGAAACCAAGCTGACCCAAGGATTTACTGGCTTTCTTTGTAGCAGCCGCTACGCGTGCCTCAGCGCCATCGAACTTCCCCTTCAGTTGGAGAACCTTCTGCAACTCCACCTTGAGCACATTTTCAATCTGCGACCATTCGTGTTGGGCACGGAAGGTAGCAATACATGCACCATCAACACAGAGCTCAATGGCTTAGCATTTTTTATGAATGTGAATTTTACAATATAAGATGAAGTGAGCGGTGGTAGTCAAACTTAAATCGAAATGGATCTGTGCGAGATCACTAAGCGGATCACTCTTCTCCATCCTGGTCGGTATAGTTAACGCCGGACCAACCGTGCGTAAAGCACTTAGTGCCGCTACGACAGGCGCTGACATCCCGAAAATTGAGTGGGAGCTAGCGCCTCGATTCCTGGCATGTTCGACAACGTTTGTCGGATTGGCCAGCTGAATTTCCAACCGCCGCTTTATCTGCCCACGACAGCTTACCCCCCCCCCCCCCCCGAGGTTCAGCCACTTTGACCACATTTTAAGTTGTAGCCTTGATGGCCTTCTCAAAACCACAAGAAGACTTGCTCGCCCTTTCAATGTGAACATGACGATCCGCATCCTTTCGCTTCCTACTAGCGCGAGGACCCTTTGGACCTTTTGGTACATCCTGTACATTCATCATGCTCGCCACCGAAGTATAATCGACGCTTGCAACATAGGATTATAAAAGCCCAATTAATATGGAAGAATACAAGAAAAATAAGAAACAAATGACCTTCGTTGAATAAGTCTGCCAAAAGAGAAGCGCAAACTCCAACGATGTAAAGGTTAATCTTCTCTTCCAGAAGCGCGTCAAATTCAACCTACCGTTGTCTTGCCTCATTACCGTCAGGAAATTGCTTTTACTTTTGGCGGTTGGATCCTTAATAGTATAGAATTCCCGAAATAGGCCATAAGTCAGCGTGATTCCACGCCTTTTACACGTAAGGTGGAGTATCAGAATATGCGTCATCAATCAAGGAGAATGTTGCGCAACCGAACACTTGAGCACGAGCATCAGGGCACAACGAAGAGGGCCGAACGGAAACTTTACCCCCATCCACCAATAGTCATAGTAGATCCCAAACCACCCTAAGGGGAAATCGCCAATGCGGCTGTGCTCATAAGGAATAGTATACTTCCACGACGGATGGTGTACTCGGCTTTGTCACTTCTCGCCTCCCAAGATTGAATCTGGACACCTCACAAGCATGTCACTAGGGGCGCCTCCCGCATCGAACATTTCCCAATCAAGGATGGTGTACTCGGCCCCGAGACCTGCCATACTCAGTTGGCTCATTGCTTCCGACACGCCAACAATTTCAAGGAGCGAGTCGGAATCCGTCTCCAAAACTTCGACCAACATGATACCAATAGTTCCAGAGCCGCTCTCACCGACACGACGGAACAGACACACCCGCCGGAATCGCCGCCACGAGGGTGTCGCTCCTCTACCTCGGAGGAACTATGAACGAGATCCTTGCAGGGTACCCTTCGGTACAAACTACGGCGGTGTATTCATCGTCGGAGCTCGCCATCTCCAGAGATGGATCATATGAAACAAGGAAGATTACCTTCTCCGTCGTAGACAACCTCGATCTCGGAACCAGAACAACCAGTGGCCATTGAATCTTGAAGATTGACGACAAAGGTAGAGAGAATGGAGGTCGTGAACAGATGATGAATCATAAGAAGAAGAAGAAGCTTTCCCATACGAGTACCAGAGAGTGATGGTAGAAATAAGAAAGGGTTGGGGGAATAACTCTTTTATACACTGACAAAGAAGGTGAACCGACAAAGGGGAACATCGGAAAGAGCTATACCATCAAATCACAAAATTCTAAATTTGCAAATCAAACCCGGCGCCGAAACGAGTGAACAGAAGCAGCCACGTCACCAAGGTAGACAAACCAGCACAAGGAGGATAGGCGGCATCGTGGACTCAGTCTGCGCACCACCTCGGTGGCAACAGGGATCAATACCTTGACGTACAGTAACCACGGCAGTAAAAATGCACATTTATGTCACACCACCCACACCCGCGGAACTAGCATCTAGAAGCGCAACAAAAGTTAAGAAGGGAAAAGGAAATTGTCCTATCTACAAACGCCCAACCGCGTCTACAACGGCAAGGACCACACCGCGCTTGACTAGTCCGTGAAAACGCAAATGGAACATTCGCGGATCGTAATCGCGCCATCGTTCTCTAAAAACGGAAGGCGCTTATTGTTTGGCTTAGTGTTCGTATCAAACTCTAAAAATAGGTTTTTTGCAATTGAATCTTTTTTTTACCTCAAAGGGAGTGCAACCAGCCTATCCATCATAATATAATATAGGAAAGTACGCCCTATCCCCTGTAAACTCTGAACGAATGCTTAGTTAGCCGTGAACTCTTGTTGCTTGTAGGCAGGTAGCTCCATGTAAGGTTAGCTCGAAAGCGAGTTCTTACTCTTTGATCTTAGGGGAAGAAAGTTGTGATTACTGGGGGTGAGGTTGACCTTCTTAAAGATTGATCCCCTTAGAGTTGGTAGCTTCTAGCAGCAGTGGGATCAGTGTGAGACAAGATGCCAAGCTATCGGGATGACCGGTTGTATTACGCATCAAGGTATGGCTTTCCCTTGTTCTCTTGTTCTTACTGTGAGATCTTTCTTTTTATTTCTTAGCCAGATGAAGAATAGATATATTATTTGTCTTTATTGTATTTGTGGAAGTGAGGTGAGCACCTTGTTTTGTCTGTCATTTGAGTCGAGAAACTCACGTTGTTGGCCTTTTTATATTTTCAAATTTTACCTTTTGAATATCCTAGCCCTTATCTCTAAAAGGGCTTACTCCACTCTCTATTTCATATCCTCCTCTGGTCACTGGTATAGATGATGACCGGCTTTCCTCCCTTTTCACACTGAAAGGCACCTCTGTCCTCCGGTGTCTAAATACCCTTATGTAATTGCACTCGTAACTTCTTTTTCTTCAATTGACATTGCCTTGAAAAGCCTAATTGTTTATACCTCTATCGAGAGTAACCTGGGGACCCAATATAGCTTTCTCTGGTTGGGTACGTACTGTTGTTCCCGCAGAACCTAACCTCATTGTCACAGAAGGGCTAAGGAACAACTCTATCATAAGATAAATTAATCGAACTGAAGTTTGGGCGGTGATTTACTTTCGTTTGGGCCATGCTGATTAGTTCGACAAAGATTTGGTCTGGAAGCTTCGGTTTAAAAAGGTAGAGCCCCGGTCGGATTTTTATCCCCAGGCCCCAGCAAACACCCTCTCGCCGTGACCCCAGCCTTAATTGAGGCATGTTGGGCTTATAAAAAGTAGATTTTTTTTTGTATTCGTGTGATTAGACAACAAGGGTGCTTGCTTCTTTTTTGTGGTCAGTGCGCGGCCTCTGAGGTCGCATGCTCAACCTAAAAATAAGTATATCTACTCGCAACCAAACTAGAAAATCCTCAAGGGTCCATCTTTGATTAGCAGACGATTGTCGTTCCCTTCTTCTTGGTCACTAGAGATTGAATTCCTTTTGCAGCTATTCCATATGGGTGGGGATGGATCAAATTCTAGGGCATTAACCTCTCTGGGAAGCCGGTCCTTTTACATAGCCATCATTGGATCTTTTTTCGAAGAAGCTGCTAGAAAATAGGCCGCTACTTTTTTTAGGGTACAGATTTGCTAACTGTTCAATTAACCAGTCTTCTGTTTGCAATTGAATGCGTATCAGCTGTGATTGAATCAGTAAGCACTGCTAGGGACAATTGTTGGGGATATGGCGAGGTTATGCGCTCACACAACCGCGCTACACGACGCCAACTCGCTTACGAAGTTGCAAGGAAGAGGAACATCCCAAGAACCTAAGGCATAAGGCGGTTTAAGATATTATCGCGGAACGAAACCCTCTAAACGACAATGTTCCCACAACCTAACACACGGTCACATCACAAGCATGGCAGCCAGGATACGCAGCGCCGGTCTTGTTGAATGTCATGTCGTATTTAATGTCCACCCACTGGGTTGAGACCTATAACTAGAGCATTTACTCCCGTGCGTGAGGGATCAATTTTTAGTTTCTCTCACTAGAACTTTGAGCTTTCTCCCTCTATAATTCTCATTCTCCTCTGTAATCCGGCCAAGGAATACAACGGAAGTTTACATTTCTCCCTCGCTCATAACCCCTTACCCTCGTGTCTCACTTCTACAGTCAGTTAGACACAAACAATATTCATTCCCAACAAATCTATCGCCGTTGAAATGTTTTGTTCAATGCTCTTGCCTCCAGATCGCATTGACGGGAAAACACGAGAAATGATGATTTTAACAAGTAACGTCACTCACTGGTAAATATACAGTTAAGGAAAACCTCGTTCACCTTGACAAAATTCGTAATCAGGAAATGTTGTTACATTTAGTGCAACAAGAGCAGTAGACATACAACATCAAAGATGGTTGAGGACAGGACAAACTCTGCTCTCGCTACTCCCTAGTTTTCAGTTGCCAATGAGATTCCAGATTAATAAGCAAACACTTCAACTAAACAAAGCCGACTTTGCCCTCCGGAAAGGAAAGAAAACCCCAAATGGCCCATATGCTCTGATGTCCAAAAGGGACAAAGCCAGAGATCTAAGGCTGCAAGATCATGTTACTCCATTCTCTACACTTCGCCTGCATTTACCCTGACTCATGCGTTCGTCAATACAAAACCAGATACTCACGTACAAACTCCTACGTCTGGTTCGCATCTCCAGTAAACCAGGGGAGCCCGGGCTGAAGACATTGCTTTGTCTCGGGAAGTGGTACAATCGGCCCTAGAAAAAGTCGCCATAAGTCGAGTATTATTGTAACCAGCATTGCAGCTCCAAGCGCATCAACAGCTACCCTTGGCAAGTCCCATGCATCACCTGGTTTCTCGTCAATCCTGTACACAAGAGAAAGAAAATTCCCAATCGTGGCTCAGGTTACATGGAATAAAGGAGTTATCAGAATCAGCATCATCGTTCTCAAAAATTTTGAAAACATCTGCTAACACTTCGTTTTTGTCCTTGTCCTGTTGCTGTTGGCCATATCATAGTTGGAGCAGTTAGGTGCTTGCCTGAATCCCTATACTTTATTACTACTTATTTTACTGAAATGCAAACTAGTGTAAAAAGTAAATGGATTGAAAAAGGAGAGTCTATTGGGGTAACTAGTTCTCGGCAATAACAGTAAAAATCCATTTTGCATCTCAAATGTATTTGCAAATCCACTTCTCACCTCAGAAACATAGGGAAGCTAACAATGAAATAGATGGCATAAAACAAGCACCCAACTTTGTACATGGCTTCTCGGTCCACAAAGTCATAGTAAGGGAACTGCAAATGACCAAAAGCAAAATGTTATTAGTAGTACACGCTACAATATTCGAGCAATCACTTCACCATTAATCAATACATCATCAGCATTCACTGGGTTCGCAACCATGGGAGATGTGAACCATTTGTAACACTTACGTTGGCAATGGCAATTGTCTCCAAGTATGCAATGAAATAGGAAAGAGCCAAAATCCAAGATGCCTCGAATGCCCACTGAATTGGGCCTGGCAAATCGACAGTAGCATGGCGTAGCCTCCGAAGTGTCATGTTCGAGGTGACATGATAAAAAAGAAAGCAAACATGGGTCAATAGAAAGGTTGTGTGTGGAACCTGCACAATACACCAAAAAACAAACTTAGCTAACTGGTACTATGGTCTATAAATAAAGGAGGAAACAAAGAGTGCATTAAGCTAATGACTCACATTATTCATCTTCCAAGATGGGAATGTGTACTCAGCTCCCAGCACAGTAAAGAAATAGTGGGTCCAAAAGTAGTTTCCAACATAGCTAAAAATGATTATCCACAGGCTTGCCTGCAACAATGGCAAGTTAATTAGCCAAGGCCCAAGGGCATTAAAACTCTTTCACCGGAATAAAATTTATCATTCGTATGTCTAAAGGACTACATAGGGTTCACTACATACTGAAGCATTGAAGAAACCAGGGACAAGCTACAGAGTTTCAATCAGGTAATTAAAGTAACAGTTCAAATACCATTAAGAAACAGGGTCCCCATCAAACAAAATAAATAAACAATCTTTGCATAAGACACTACACCAATCTAGCAACTATTTTGGCAAAGCACTTGCCTTAACCCAATAGCGATCCTTCAGTGCCAAGCTTCTATCGGCCTGCAAAAAGTTCATAAATAGCTTGAATGCTCAATGACACCTGTGTATGGATGGGGCAGAAAAGAGAGAACGGGGAACAGAAAGAGCAAGTGAAATTCACCTTTCCAACAAACAATGCTGGTATCAAGATAGCAGGAACTGCAGATACCAAGCCCACAAGCAAATATTCCAGCTCGGCAAAGCTCTGCCAAAGAGAGTCTATTAACACTAGCTTTTCTGCCAATATCCTACACTCAATCCAACTAGCAGATTTAATTGTTGATCAAACAGGAAAGATATGTAGATAATGCGGAGTTACAATAAGCACAGAATCTAAGAGCCTCCAAACTCAGCCAAACTGACGTTCTTTCTGCAACAAACTAAAGAGTCTAGGCCACAAAAGGCTCAGTCTTTTCTCTGCCCTTAATCAAGTTATTGGATCAAGTTTCAGAAATTCAAATTCTCGACCCGTTCGGATGAAGAAGATGTAAAGGGAAAAACGAATCGAAGAAGGGACAGTTGTGAGATTTACCTCGTAGAGCTTGTAAGGGACGATAATGCCCAAACATAGAGTGAGCCAGAAAGGAGTATAGAGAAGGAAGAAAAGCTCCGCCCACCTCTTGCTCCTGTTTGAAGACAGCCATAAGCTACTGCTAGTGGAACGAGCGGAAGCCGGCTTCTTACCTGAGAACCGCCCGTCGCCATATTTCTCAGGATTTGATAAGAGCGGAACGAATATCATCGCAAATCGCAATAAAAAAGATGAAGCATTGATCGTTTTGGAAGACAAGAAACAGCAAAAGGAAACCCGAAAAAGTTGAAAGACTTACCACCCATATTTGGAACTTGGAAGTAAGCGACCGGTAATGGAGTCGACAAAGATGGATCTGGGGGCTAGTCGGTCCTCGGAATTAACTCTGGTTAATCCAATCACTGAGTCACCGATTCGCCGGCAGTGACAGTGCCCACCATTACTTGACGATCTTACTTACTCGTGGAGTGTGGACGGACCCGACACCCCTCCCCCCCTCGAAGATATCGACTTGCTTTGCTCCAAGCTGCCACCAATATAGATAGATATAAAATTAAGCAATCGTGTATCTTATATTTTTTTTTTTTTTGGGTTATGTACCTTTTTTCTAAATTCTTTTATATTGTTCAAATCTATTGAATACTAAGAATTAGTCAAATATTAATTTTCAGTAAGCAATTTTGTTAGTAATATTGACTTGGCAATATGATACTGCTTTGAAAGAGATACATGAAAGTCAACATTTCAAAATTTTGGTATTTTAACTAAGAAAAAATTTACAAAATTATTAATGATTCGTAAAAATGGCTACTAATTTGATGCATTACGAAAGATTTGGCTAATTAATAGCATTTTAATAGATTTGGATAATATAAAAAAATCTGAAAAAGGTTTGGATAAAAAATAGACATTACCCTTTTTTTCAACTCCTAATTTTGAGTTTACTTATCTTATGTGCCAAATCAATTAATTAAAATGATCATACTCCTAAACTAATTCACACCATAAAGGAAGAAATCGTCCTTCTCCCCTGAGATTAGTTCGTCGAAGCGGCGACAGCGCCTGCTCTCGGCCTCTCATCGTCGACAACTAAAGTAAAGAGCACTGGTGGATACACGGGTATTAAATGGTACAACAAATCATCCCGCCATAGATTGTTTCTTTATAATTAAGCAAATAAAATATCACTACCATGTCCATGATTTTCACCGAGTTTTCAGTTGAACTGTCTGTAGCGTTGGCTATGGTGGGTATTAAATGAGTTGCAGATGACGTAGAAGAGTTCTGCTATGGGAGAATTGGCCTTGTGGAACAGACTAACACCTGAGTTAAGGGCTAATAAAAGATACAGGCAAAACAACTATCGTGACAGAAAAATCACAACTGAATCAAAGGGAGCAGGTCATGTGCAGTCGCAGTAACCTTGTTCCAATTCCTATACATACTCGAGTAAATGACAACAAGAGCCCCAAAGCCTTTACCCCTTTCCCTTTATTAGGGCTGGGCATGCGGGCGGATCATCCGCGGGTTTGGGCCGACTCACCCGCATTTGACCCGAATATTGTTAAGTGGATGGGTCTGTGGGTGGGTGACGGGTTGCGCTGGGAGCCATCCGCCGGGTGGTGGGTGGGTTGTGGGTGAGTGTGCGGGTGACCCGCTCAACCCAACAGCAAAAAGATCAAAGTCGTTGGCGCTAGAGAGAGGAGAGTGGAGACGTTAGATATAAATTCGGACTACTCCTGGAGTTTGAACCTCAAAGCCAACCTTCCAAATAGAGATCCCCTCTTCTTCCCTTTACTTTTTCCTCTAATTCTTGTGCCTAGATCACCGCTCTTTCCTTTGTGGAATTATTTTCCTTAGTTCCTTGCACCTAATAATCGTCTCAATCTGTAGAAAACTCTTTCATAATAGAATTTCTATCCAATTTAAGAACTAATTCGACATTTTTCGTCCTATTTCAACTTTTTGTTTCCCTCGATGATTCTCTTCACCTATTATCATGTCAAGTTGACTCCTTTATATTATATACATTGTGATGTGGGTGAACCCACAAACCCATCCGCATCATCCACCATCCGCCCGACCCAACCCGAGACTAAATGTGGGTGGGTGGTGGGTTAAAAATTATCAATCCGTTTAAGCGCGGGTGGGTGCATTTTATGGTCAAAATCCACCCGACCCACCCAATGCCCACCCCTACCCTTTATTATTAGAGCGTTATGGTTTTCACCATGAGCAAGCAAGCGATCGCATCCCGAAGCAAACAGACAATGGGCTCGATGAGAACTGTATCGACTAGTTCTCTCTACTCCAACTATCAGCGAGGAGAGGTTGGGAGCAGGAGCCGCCTCCGAGTAGAGCGATAAATCGCAGGGAGACAAATGGTTTCTGCTGTTTGGTGTGAATTAGTTTAGGGGTTCTTTTATTTAAATAAATTGATTTGGGACATAAAATAATTAAAACCCAAAACTAGGAACATTAAAAAGTAAATGAGGGGTATTTGGGTCATTTTATAGCTCGTTTAACGTTTACTTCACAAAAAGTTAATGGAAGGATAAACTCGTTACGTTTTAATATTAGAAGAGTATGTTTGTGCAAAATTTTAGTAGAGTGGTACGTTTGCTAATTTATCATAGTAGAGAGGTAGAAAATGATATTAACCCTTAATAGAAACATTCTATTTCGATTAATTTTTTTACTTTTAAAATGGTTTACCATAATTAATGTAAATTTTTAAAGGGCATGCTTTTCATTTTTAAATCCTTATAGGGGAAGATGCATACATCCTTTCCTTAGCTGACATTGACCACAAATATCATGAAGTAGATCATAAAAAAACAACCAGAAATACAACAAACTACACCTCAAATAACATAAAGTAGAACACCAAGCTTATAAAGCATATGAGAATCTACAACACAACAAAATTCATACAACATAACAGAAAACTAAAGTTGACCACAACTTTCCTAAATCTCATCTTTACCCTCCTTTATTAACATTTGATCTTACTGTTTTAGTGTTCTTCGTATGGCCTTCTAGGCTTCACTTCACGTCGATCTCTCCTCAAAAACCCCATATTGCATCCATCACCTTCGACACTACGTCCATCTCTCCCTTTTCATCAATTCTGGTTTCTGGATTAGGGTAATCGACAATGGAAGTCAGACAGAGGAAAGAGCAGGACGTGGCCAAAGGCATGTTTTGGGTTGTCCACTTTAATAGAGATTCATGACTAATCGAAGATTCTTCGCTCAGTATAAAATTCAAGTAAAATGCACTAGGGAATAAACAACATTAACTTGATTAAAGACTAGGGTGAATCATACCGAGTGACCTTTTTGCAATTGAACCCCGATCATTCTACTTTGCTTTCTTAGTTAAAGTGCCTTCACAACTTGTTTGCTAGATAACAGATAATCATTGAGTAATAGTAGATATGGCAACACTGAATTTGATAAATAAAAATTACCTCCACTATACTACTTCATCATCTTTGGTTACACTTGGCCACTGATTGAAGTGGTAGTTTTAGCGAATTTCATTTTCCGATACTACCCTCCTTCCAAGACTGTTGAACTTCGGAAGGAGATTACTCACTTTGCTCAGAAAGAAGGACGATACATTATGTGATGCGTGGAAGCGGTATACTGACTTTTCATAAAGTGCCCACATCATGAATTGGATTGATTATTTTAAGGTGTCGACCTTCTACAAATCAATCTTTCAAGAAGACCGCCAGCTCATTGATTCCTTCTCATCCAAATGAATGTTGAACAATACCCCATCTCAGATGAACTAGTCGTTTGAGGAAATGTCTGCACAAGGACATGATTGGGAATCCCACTTAGAAGCAATGGGTCAAGAGAAATAGGCAGCTACTTGTTGATTCTTGCCCTTCTCTTAAAGCCAAGATTGAGATCTCATAAAGAGAATGGATAAGAAAGATGGTTTTTTCTGGAAATCAACCAAAGTCTTTGGGTATGCAGTGTGACTGGTGTTTGTGCACCAACCATACATTAGATGAATGTCAGGTAACGATGGAGGCTGCTACACCTCAAGAGTAGGTAGATTTTGTAGCAAATGCCAGAGGTAGAAACCCCTATAGTAACACCTACAATCCAGGGTGGGGCAATCACTCCAAATTCACGCGATCTTCACCAACGAATCTTAGGCCATCCGGATTTCAGGCCTAGTTGGAGGTTTCTAGCAAAGATCTTCTTTCAGCAACATCGTCAGTAACACCAGGATTAGTACTTCCAGCAACAATACCACCCTTAGAACTTCTGGTGGGTGCAGGGGCGGATGGAGAAGGTTAGAGGGTGGGTCCCGGGACCCACCCTGGTTCGGGAGGAAAATTGGTAAATTAGGTGTAATAGTTAATCGGGTATGAAAAATAACACTTATTTAAATGAGAATGGTTTACCTTTCAAATATTTGATGTTTGATTTATAAGTTTTGTATCGACATATTTAATGTTTTTATAACGAGTGTAACGGGCAGCTTCTAAGGAAAAAAAATGAATAAAATAGTTAATTGAGAATTAAATTTAAGGCACTTCTAATTGAGAATGGTTGACCAAGAGATCATGTGTTCGAATTTTGGTGACCTCATTTGTTAATCACATAATATTCGGATTTGGGAAAAATTTAAGCACGTATAAGTTAGTTTTTGTTAGCAGGAAAGTGTTAGTAAATACTAAATAGTATAAGTCTATTATTAAATCTTTCACAACAATTGATACTAAACGATCTTGACGAAGAAAACCATTCAAGAGAAAATATCTAACTAAATCATTAATAATTGGTTGATATATATATATCAATTTAATTTTATTAATTATTTTAATTTAATTATAATCAATTTAATTATTAGTAATAAATATAATTACAATCATACACACTCGTTAACTGTTGTATACATTTTAGTCCCACATCAATTTTTGTTGTACATTAGGCTCAATTCAATCATTTAACTATTTAATTATTAGTACTCTTTTCTCCTAATCATAAATTTAGAACAGCCAAACTTTAAAATTATATACAAATTCATTGCTACTGCCTACGAATATAATTACAAGGCCGTTTTGTCCTGATTCTGTCTTCACTCTTCATTCATCTTTTCTGGAAAAAACAAAGTCTTCATTCATCTCATCTCATTTGTCTTCTTCATTAGAGGTGAGAGTGGTTTTTACATGAACTCTGTTCCTTTAACTCCCATTCTCTCCTGATTCAGATCGTCCAGCCATAGACTTTAGAACCCCATTCGCCGCATCCCCCTCGCCAATACTCGAGTGCACTGGTCAATCGGGAGCTGGGATCCCTCCTTCAACCATCAATTTCGTCGAAATAGGAACAGGGAATCCCTGGTCCGGCTGTCTCTTTAGTACTTAGATACGAGCTTCACTGGCTGGCCCTTGGCTTCAAGACCTCACTCGTCCAGAGAGATCTCGAACGCCAATTATGTTCCAGCTGTTGTCGGGTCCCTAACGGATTTTGTGATCTCGACCGTCTCTGCTGCGGTAGA